GGGGGGGTGACTCTGATCTGGGAGTGACCCCCTGCATCCCCTCAGGCTTCTCCCTGGACTCGGGGAAGGGGCTAACGCGGGCACAGGAGCTGAGCTTCGTGCCAGGCCCCCCCCGTGCCAACCACACGGGCGCCGTGGTCCTGCTGCGCCGCGACGCCCTCAACCGCCTGGTGCCCGAGGCCCTGCTGCCTGGCGAGCAGCTCACCTCTGCTTTCGGCTATGCCCTGGCCCTGGCCGACCTCAACAGCGACGGGTGAGCTGGGCGTGGGCAGGGCCGGGGCAGGGGCAGGGGCAGAGCTGGGTCTGACCCTCCTGCAACTCTTCCCATGCCAGCTGGCTGGACCTGGTGGTGGGGGCCCCCCACTTCTTCGACCGGCACCGGGAGCTGGGCGGTGCTGCCTACGTCTACATCAACCCCAGCGGGCGCTGGGAGGGTGCTCGGCCCCTGCGCCTCAATGGCCCCCCTGGCTCCATGTTCGGCGTCGCTGTCGGGGCCCTGGGTGACCTCAACCAGGATGGCTTTGAGGGTGAGCGGAGGGGGCAAGGGGATAGTTTTGAAGGGAGGTGTTGGGCAGAGTCCCTCTGGAAGGAGAAGGGGAAGGGGCGGGTGTACACCTGAGTGTGCACACGTGTGTGTATGCATGATGCAGGCATGACTTGGTGCAGAGGGTTGTATTGTGATATGGGTGTGCACGTGTGTGTGTGTGTGTGTGTGTGTGTGTGTGTGTGTGTGTGCATGTGAGGTGCAGGCCAGGGCCCCATGTGCACAATATTGGCTGGTGTGTGTTGGTGCAGGGGGTCTGGGCTTGGTGTGGCAGGGTGTGCATGTACGTGCAGGTGTGTGCACGCATGATGCAGGGCAGGCACCTGTATGCACAATATTGGCTGGTGTGTGTTGGTGCAGGGAGGTTGGGGCTGGCATGGGGGCGCATGCACATATATGCAGGCATGTGCATGTGTGATGTAGGCTGGGTGCCCATGTGCACAGTTTTGGCTGGTGTGTGTTGGTGCAGGGGCTAGGCGTGGGGGTGTGCACGCATGATACAGGCCAGGGCCCCATGCACACAGTGTCAGCTGGTGTGTGTTGGTGCAGGAGGACCAGGCTCAGCGTGGGGGCGCATGCACATGTGGATGCGTGAGGCAGGCCAGGTCCCGTGTGCATGATGCCACCGGGCCTGCACTGGTGTAGGTGGCTCGGACCAGGCGTGGGAGGCATGTCTGTGCGTGTGCTTGCACTCATGCGTGTGCCGGGCCGGCTCCTGCCTTGCAGACGTGGCTGTGGGAGCCCCCTTTGATGGTGCCGGCAAGGTCTATATCTACCACGGCAGCAGCCTGGGCATCGTCACCAAGCCGGCGCAGGTGAGGCGTGGGGCGCAGCCCTGCCACGTCCTGCCCCAAACCCGCCACTTCCTTCCCCAAACGGCCCCTGACTCTGTCCACTGGCTGCAGGTCCTGGATGGGGAGGCTGTCGGCATGACGACCTTCGGCTACTCGCTGTCGGGGGGCCTGGACGTGGATGGGAACGCGTATCCCGACCTGCTGGTGGGCTCGCTGGCTGACACTGTGGCCCTGTACAGGTGAGACCCTCTGGCACTGGGCATTGCATTGTCGGCCGGGCTCTGGAGGACTGGGTGGGGTTGAGGTGCCAGCCCGTGGCTGCCTTGCAGAGCCCGGCCCGTCATCCACGTGTCCCGAAGCATCACCCTGGAGCCCCCGAACATTGACTTGGAGCGCGAGACCTGCCGAGGGCATCCGGGCATCTGGTGAGTCCCCTCCTGCCCCCCCGCGGCCCGAACGCCTGGCTTCTCTCCAGCTGGGGGATGGGAGGCAGAGCTTGTGGGTCAAGGGCAGGGAAGGGAGGGGGTTGGGAGCCCCCCAGGACTCCTGCGTTCTTTCCTCAGCCGGGCCGGTTCTGCGCTGGGGGGTGAGGGTGGAGTTGGCACAGGCTGATGTGTTGGGGAGGGGGGGTCTGGCATGCTTGGGTGGGGTTTGACATGTCTTGTGGGGGGGGGGGCTGCCCCCCCTCACGCTGGCCCCTCTTTGTGCCCCCACTGCAGCGTGGATGTGCGCCTTTGCTTCAGCTACACGGCCACCCCCACCAGCTACAGCCCCCACGTCAGTGAGTCTTGGGCACCCCTGGGGGGGTCCCTGCCATGCTGCCGCACAGGGAGGGTGTGAACGGCCCTGGAGAGCCCACATTCCACCCCAGAGGTGGCTGCATCCATGGGCCAGGGGCTTGGCAGCCCCACGGAGCCAGGGCACTCACGCTGCTTCCCCCCTGCAGCACTGGAGTACTTGCTGGAGGCCGACGCGGACCGGCGGCAGCTGGGCCGGATGCCGCGTGTGGCCTTTCCCCAGCGGCGCCCCACGGACCCCGAGCACCGTCTCTCGGGTGAGGTGGAGCTGCCGGGACAGCGCGCCCGTGTCTGCGTGGACTCCACCTTCCAGCTCCAGGTGAGGCCTGTGCCCTCCCCTGTGCCCACACCACCCCCATGCACCTGCCACGGGCCCCACACATGTGCGTGTCTCCCTGTGTGCGCGTGTGCATGTGCCTTCACTGCATGCATGTGCATGGGCAATGCACTCGCCTGCAGCCCCTCGTGCACGTGCCCAAAGCCCTTGCATGGATGTGCAGACAGGTGCATGTCCACGCGTGTGCATAGCCCTGCACACACATGCACTTGCTCACGTGCCCAGTTCCCCTGTGCCAGCCCCTCAGCTCAGCCTCACTCTGTGCCCGCAGGACAACATCCGTGACAAGCTGCGGCCGATCGCCGTGGTGCTGAGCTACAACATCAAGCTGGCCCGCAGCAAGCGCCAAGCCCCTGGTGCTGCTCTGCCCCCGCTCCCGCCTGTGCTCAGCGCCCAGCAGCCCAGCATCCAGCGGGCACAGGTACATCTCTCCTTCCAGCCAGCCCCCACCTCATCGCAGCCATGCCAGGGGCTGGGGGGTGCAGGGAGCTGATGGGTTTGCCCCAGAGGGGGGCAGGGGGCAGCTTCTCATTGCACAGCTGATGCCCCCCAGGTGCATTTCCTGCGGCAGGGCTGCGGGGAAGACAAAGTCTGTCAGAGCAACCTACAGCTGGAGGCGTGGTTCTGCTCCCGCACGGGGGACGCCGACTTCCTGCCCCTGCCCAGGTGAGGGGGAGGATGGGTGTGCAAGGCACACAGAGGTATGCATAGACCTGTGCACATGCTCACACATGTACAGGTACCTGATCTGTGTGCACACACTTGATGCAGATGTGTCCATGCGTGCAGATGGGCATAGACTTGTGCACACGTGTGCAGCGCAGACACATGTACACTCAGGCAGATGTGCACGCACAGACCAGTGCAAACTGGCATGTGCACACATGCAGGCACAGGCCCCTGTGCACAAGTACAGTGCATTGCTACTTACACATGCATACATGCGTGCAGACGTACGCCGAGCCACGCACACGCCTGCAGGCAGACATGGGCACACGCGCAGGCCCACATGCACACGTGCACATATGTGTGCAACGCACTTATCTTGGGATGGTTTGCACACACACATGGACATGCAGGCAGATGCATATACATGTGTGTGCGCACAGCCCTGCACGGACATGCACTCACTCACATGCAGGCACCCCCAGCCCTGCACCTCTGACCCCGCTGCTGGTCCAGCCTGTGGCTTCGGGTTTAAATCCCATTG